TTTTCTTCAGACCTCAGCACCTATTCAAGCTTTTTAATTATCCTATTATAAATTTGGAGTCCAAAATATATCTACCACAACATTTCCGACCACTTCGCATCGTCGTTGATGATTGGTGGCAAATTTTCACGATTCTAGCTGGCTTCAACCATTTTAACTTCACTCTGCTAAAAAGTGATAAATTTCCGTACAAATAAAAATACTGTGGCCGTGTGATGAGGTGTTAGCACTTTCGAATCGCAATTGTAGAATGGCACACTGTGGTACACTATCTTACGAGCAGAAGACTTTGCTCTGATGCTCATGAGCCGTGGCGTTGTCCACGAAAGGTGTGTGGCAGCCCTGGCAGAAGAAGTGGTCTGGGTGCCAAAAGTAGCCCATCGCCTCCAGGCAACGCTAAAAAATCACATGAAAATCAGTTTTCAATACCAAAAACCTGTTCGATAAACTTTAAAAGGGAATAAATCAAGAAGTATTTATTCATAAATGAGAATTAGCATTATCACAGATATTTGCCAAGTAAAAAATGGCAAAGTATAACTAAAATTCGGTAGGCCTTCCCTCTTAAAGTGTGAGAGGAGTTTGTCAGTTATTAATAGCAGATGTCGAGTTAGTCTTATAACCATTTGCCAAGGAGTTTACCGTTGTCAGGTGGAATTTGTTCGTGCAAAGAGCATTTTATGTTCTCGGGTATATGATGACACCATATTTATAGCAGGTCCTGCTGATACATTGACCCTGAAAATTAGCTAATCCACAAAATGAAACCTTTCCAAGGTTGTCTTTGTGGCCAGTATGGAAATGGGAAAGAATAACATAAGGGTCTCCAAACTCACATCGACGATCGCCTCACCGCAGAAGGCGCACTTGGGGGCGAAGAGGGAGAGGTGACACTCGGTGCAGTAAGGCGCGCCATCGTGTTCGTAGAAGAACTCCTCCACCACGTTCTTTCCGCAGTACGCGCAGTTAAAGTGTTCCGGGTGCCAGACTCCCCCTAGTGCTGTTATCACCTTTTCACAAAAAAAGTCGAATAAATCAAGGAACCTTGGCAACCCTTCTACTAACCGAGCGAACCTCACCTTGCACAGACAATGTTTAGTACAAGGGATATCAGATATGAACCGGAGCTTCGCATCCTGCACACAAACAAAAAGGGCTACGGCGTCAAAGGTATTCCGTTAGCCAAATGGGAGTTTAATGGAATATTGGCAACAGTGGGTAGATAGAAGACGGCTCAGACACGTTTCCGGCAAAGACGCACGGTCTATGCACATTGGTGTTCGCACAGTTCATTTGTGGCACGCTGAGCAGTACGCGTTTGAGCGAATAATGTGAGATTTAGAGAGCGATAATCTTCGTGTCAGTGCCACTCCTAGTCACAGTGGCTATCCTTTTCTTCAACGCTCATGGCATGATGTGGCCAAGTCTAGACGTCTAGCAGACCCATAACCGTTTATGTGATAGCACAGGGAGCACAGAAATGTGTAAATCTGAACATTCGCTGAACGCCAAAACATTTCTTCGCAAATGACAAAGAGGACCAGTCTGCCTTGGAATGACTCACCTGTGTCTAATCCGTTTTGTTAACTCCTAATCGCAAAATTTTCCTGATGTTTTAATAAATCATGCCACATTATTCACTCCACATTTTTTGCCAAGTATATTTAAATCAAAGTAAATGTCATTCTGTGTACTTGAAATAGCGTGTTTCTTCATTTCTTAACTTACAATTCCAAATAAAAAAACACTATCGGTTATACGCTACTTTTCTATGGCTAATGTTTTTGTGCA